CCAACACTCAAACCCATGGTAACTCTACTATTTATTAGTTTCTTTGCTGCAGAATGGTGCATGACACATACAACCGTATGGGGGGCGGACGGGTGTGTGCGGAAAAAAAGGAAGCAAATATACACATCACACAGCAAATGTGAATGAATGAAACTTGTGACACACGCTTGGCCCTGTTTTTTGCATATCGAATTGCTTGTATCCTGGTAGGAGATCAGTATCCGTCTCCGCTGAGCGTCATCTTGCGCAGGTTGATATGGTTTCGGCTAAGACAAGCGCAACGTAAGCGGACGGAGTCATACTTTGCACGCGGTGAGACGGTCACTCCGTGTGAGAAAATAACTCGCATGCGTGGATGGACAGGTAGTGGTGATGCTCCTAGGGGCTAATTCCTCTTCTTTCTCCAGCCCGCGGGTGCTTGATGAGCTCAATCACACTGGGGCAGCTACGGTGAATGCACTTCCACAACCTACGCCACTAATTAATTAAGGACATGGGTGCACCCTACCAGGGTCCGCAATGTATGAGTTCATTTCAGATGTCGTGTTATCAGTAGCTCTCAATGGATTGTCAACTATTACAGGGATACGCTGCTCGTCTATTGTCTCGAGACGCAATGTACTGTTTGTTCTGGCAGCAGAGTAAAAAGAGGCGGCTTCATCGTTCACAAGAGCAGGCGTTTCGTAAAAATTTCCATCGCATTCTTCGAATTTAACCCTTTTCTTAGTGAAGAGATGCAACCAGATGAAACACAATGCCAGGCTAAGAATAGTAATGATCAAAAAGAAGACACAAAGCACAATCAGCGCTGTGCCGTGCGAGTTGTTGGTAGGTCCGAAATCGGCATCAAAGCCTACTGCGATCAGCTTCACCGACGCAGGCTCCCCTATGTAGAACGAAATCGCCGCACTATAGTCTCCTTGTTTAAGCACGCTGAGGATGTCCTTTGGATCCCACGGGTGCTGTCCCCCCACCTTCCTGTGCTGGCCTACTTCACCGTACACCAAAAGACCTTCGATTTGCTTAGCACCATCCTTGACAGGTTGGGTGCGCGTGATGAACACCTCGGTGTCGTAAAAAAGACGATCCAGCACATTTCGCGCGCTGGTTGCGATGCTATCACTGAGTTGCTTGCCTTTAATTAGTATGGTTTCCTTCCATTTTTCCTGATTCCCGGAAAAGCGAATAATGAACTGTGTCCTCACAGTGCTCAGATAGGGTGGCACTGGGGGATTGGGGGATCTGGGGGGCAAATATGGACGGAGAGTAATAGGGAGCCGCAGTAAGTCCTTGAAGGGATTTAAATCATCATCACTTATAACGAGTTTGTTGATTTTTTCACTAAATCGTGGGAGAGTACTGTTCACTAGCTTGCGATATATTTGTTCAGGTGTCAAAGTGGAGTGCGGTTCCGCGTTGGGGGTAGCGTATACCGTGTAGTTTATATAGGTGCCTGACGTGTTAGTCCACAACTGTGTCGGCATGATGAGATAAGCGTCTTGACTAGAGTTCAGGGCATTCTTAAGATCAATCGGTAGATACCTTAAGACCTCGTCGGTGGCATGGTACACATTTCCCTTTGGTATCAATGGTTCTTCTTTCTTTAAATACATTTCCCATAGATAGGTAGGCGTATTGATGGCAATCGCGGCGCTGGCTATGTGAACTGTTACTTCATCTGGCATGAAGGGAAATACTTTTAGGCTACCGCCAAGCTCGGGAAATTTATTATTCACAGTGGTGAAGACAGCTTTGCGAAGAATATTCCGCACTTCATCCTCAGTACTCGTAGTAAGTTTCACCGTGATTTCTGCATCTAGACCAATTCCATCAGCCTTGAGTGCGGATGGCCGGACATCACCAGAGTTGGAAGCAGTGTGAGGAGAGTGAGTTGTGACAGAGACAAAATGAAACAATGAATAAAGTTTCTTAATATCAGTTTCAATGTCGGTAAAGATTGTTGTTTTGCTGTTAGATAAATATGCCCACGTGGCTGCGGGCCCCGTGATCCACACTTTCACAGTCGTACTGAACAGACCAGCAGTTGTGCCCATCCCACAACTGAGGATCAGCAAAAGGCAGACGAGGCGGGTCAGCAAGACTGCCGGACGGTGATGTGGTTGGCCCGTTAGCAAGGTCATCTGGATACCTTAACGATCTTGTAAAAATTATGGGGATTGTATATATAATGCCTCAAGACGGAGGTTAATTCACTTTGTCTGGTGGCTTGTGCTTGATGTATAGTACGCTTGGCTACTTTTGGAGTTTAGTTAAATCTTCACAAAGTGGTTGGGATCAAGAAGGTGTTGCAAGAATAACTAAACCCAACAATATCGAAACTGAGAAGATGAATTTTACACCTCTGTCGCTTTTTTCACGCTTGTCTTTGGATTCTTTTCATGTGCAAACTTTAAAGTGTCTTGGATTGGCTTTTGTGCGTGTCTTGAGAGACTGCAATACGCCCCTCCACTCCACACATACTAGTGAGCACCGAGTTACGCACCATACGACTTCGAAGAGTCCTGCATGTGATCGCAACGTCCTCTCTAGAACCGGTATCAACCGCCCTGCAGCTTGTCTGTATCCTTTCATGCGAGAAAGGGCGGCAAACAAATTCGAAAGACCGCTTCACTCGTGAGATCAAAAGTGTCGTCTTCAGACACGGCCACATGTGGCCCAGGCGAGGTATGCCCGTCACCCTATACAAGGGGAGTGCCCTGTAGATGAGCACTCTCAGTTCCGCATTATTGCCACCGTTGTGCCTTCTACGAGCTGAGTCGCGCGCATAATGAGGGGCTGACAATTGTACATGTCGAATACGAATAATGGACCGAGACGCCCTTATGGGTCGACACGATTGTATTCTTATTCAGTATTTAATTACTCTTTTTACAATAATTTCAGGGTTCGAATGTATATTGGTCAGATAATTGATAGAGGTATTGAGATTAGAGATAAGGCGCCTTGTTTCACTTCCACAGACTCGCTAGTTAAAACGCCTTTTCTTAAAATCGAATCGAATTTGCCAGATTTACGACATATCCTGCGTTGTGTGTGTTTACCGAGGGTGGCTTTCACGCTGGAAAGGGTGATGATATTGGAAATCTAATGATTTCACTAATCCATGATATAAGCTCTATTATTCATAGCGTAGATGCATGGCATCCGAAAGAGCATGGTAGGGTCATGTGCGAGACACTAATACGAGCAAAGCTGCAGCAGGATCACCACCATTATTAGGGCATGCGAAAAAAAACTAGCCTATGTTGATTTAACATTGTAACATAAAAAAAATCTCACGTCAATTCCATGCGCACATTGACCCATTTTTCCTCGATATATCTCACTGATATAGTGGACTATGCGAGGCCGTTGAATGAAACTGGAGTATAGTTATTCCCTTTTCCCATGTTTCCGTTAATTTACTCACTTCATTGAGAAATCAGGTAATAAACAACATCAACAGCCTGATCTACGCACAAATACTTCGGTGGGTTTGTGAGGACGTAGCGAAACCCATCGAGCGATGGATTTTTCGCATCGCGAATGCAGCGATATAGCGCAATGGGCAAAAATCCCGCCTTTAGACAGTAGTTAATGACGTCTTCATAGGTTCCCAGTTCCACTACACACATGCTTAGCGGAAGCTGTGATAGGGTTGGGAGATCGTTCGCATATCCTCTAATTAGAGTGTCCATCACATCAATAAACTCCTCCATAAAGTATGTTCCCTGCAGAGTTGGGAGCAGCATTTCTCGACTAATTGCATTTCCAATCAAAAAGTTAGGCTCAAATACAAAATCCACACTTGCCTTTGAGCGGAGTTCAGCATCTTCTGCAACTGGAGGGAAGAGAGGGAGATTGATTAAGCCTTCAAGTTCAACAACCACTGGGAAAGGGGGGGCCCCATTGAGGATATCGTGTATCGAGAGCACAACAAGCATGGCCATAGCAGCTGTTGAGCCTTCGCGACTGATATCTCCGGCAAAAAAAATGCAACACCCTGCACATTCCCGAAGATTGCAGCGCATCAGTTCGGTCGTATTGAGGCCGCAGCCTAAAATGTATTTCAAGGGGCTAGCCTCTTCGTTGAAATCCCAGTAATCTGTAAAGTATGGTGCGAAGCTGACGTCGTTTGTGAGCAGGACAACGTCGCTTTGAGAGTATGCCTGCCGGACAGGCCGCATCACCGCGTACACGTCACGTGCGAGAGCTGCCAGGTGGCCCTCTAACGCATAGCGTGTCGTCTTATCTTTACCCTTTGCCGAGGACAGATCGATCATTAGGAAATGTTTTTCACACCCAAAAGCGTCGTTTATGCGTAGTAAGTATTCAGTTTCCATGTTGAGATTGGTGCCCGTGTCGTTTTGAGACTTTCGTGTAGAGAGACGAATATTGTCAGAAGCTAAATTCGATGCGTACGGCGCCGTATCGCCGCAATGAGAATAATGACGATCTGCGGAGTGATCAGAATCATCACTAGCCTGATAGTTTAGCGGAGGGGGATCGCTAACACATTCCGGGTATGCGCACTGTTGATTAGGTTTGAATCTACTCTTCGTCCCGAGACGCTCATTGGGATCTGGGGCCACCAGCATTTCCTCCCCGAAAGTCTGCTCGAAATCACGTGAGATTGCGTCTGTGGCATCATGGACAGCCTTCATGGACCTCGCAATCAGGAGGAGCTTTTTTGCGTTTGGGATCAGTTCATTTGGATTCAACTCAACTGCGTAATGCGCGTCGAGGACTCCGATGAGGGTAATGTCATACTCAAAAAAGGAGCGTGCTAAGATACGGAATTCACGCCCGCGCAGGGTGTCTGGTACGTCGATGTCGTACAGATCATTTCGTATCGAGTACTCATATTGCTCTATCCAATGGCATGCATGTGGCATATCGAGTGGCAGCGGCTCATACGTATTCATTAAGTTAATGATAAACGGGATGACACCGGGGTTTACCATGGATAGTCCGAGGAGGTGATGCACGGTGCGTTCAATCTCCAGCGCACTCGCAGCATAGGGCGCAATTTGTTTCATTGTTCGGCTCCGGCGCAACATGAGGTGCTGGGGCAACTCGGGGTCAAACAGACCTACCGCCAGGGATTGTTCAATAATGTCGTAATCCCGGTAGTAAGCAGCGGAACGGGTATTTCCAAACAGGAAGATCGCGTCTGCAGATTTTGCACCGGCACGACGAAGGTCCACCTCTTTGGTGGGGTCACCAATCATGAGATGTACACGTCCTTTGTACCATGGCAGGTTCGCGGTCAGTTGAACCTCCGCAGAGTACTCTTTTGGAAACATGAAGACGATACACGTGCTCAGATACTTGCGCCATCCCGAGTAGAAGTTTCGAAGCAAAATATCAAATCCAAGATCACTAAACTCACCACAGACTACGACGTGCTTACGAGACACCCAGAGCGACTTCGACTGGTATGTCCTATAGTACTGACGCTTTTCACCGATGCGTGCTAGACGCTGGAAAAGTGGAAGGAAATAGCTGATGCCGATGAGTACAAAAACGGTCATTAAAAGACGTGATGGGGTTGAACTAGGATAGATATCCCCGTAACCCAAGGTGTCGAAGGTGACGATCATGAGGTAGCTAGAATCGAATAAATCAATGTATTTTCCCGTGCAGCACTGAACCATTTGAAAGGTTCCGATACAAGTACAAATGACTGCGAAAAAGGCGCGAAAAAAAGCGACATGTTTCACGATACATATCTACCATGCAGCGTACGATCTGTGGATAGTCTAGCAATACACACACGCAATTATTGATCCACCACACTCGAAGATACATAGGCACCCACCCCCACCGATAGTTGCTATTGAACAATGCCCCAACGCCCAACACGATCATCGGAACACTTGTCATGATGTTCACAAACGAAAGCCAGGAAAAGAAGTACCGCTTCTTGTCTTCTTCTAGAAAGAAGAGCAAAACCCATTCGAGAAAGAAAATTGCATTAAAGACGACCTCCACATTGAACATAGACGTTCCCCAGGTGAATTTTTTTATATCCTGGCTATGGTTAGATTGAAGCACCCAAACATAGATCCCCACGGAGGTTATCTCCATGAAACTGTGTAATAGAAGACCAAATATTGAGATGGAGCTATGCTGTTGATCCAGAAATTCAATAAACTTTCTCAGCGAACGGACACTTTTGCGTTGCTTAGAGTAATGTTTGTCGCCATAATAAACACGGGTACGGCAATCCAGTACATTGACGAGCATATTGCCTTATTCAGGAAGACCACTTTTTAAAACAAAAACAAACAAGCAAAAAGAGCGATAACAAGCTAATAGAGAGTATATTGATATACGAAAAATGTTTACCCACAACAACCCCTTTTTTTCTTTAATCCTTCTATTTCCATGAGGTTTTATATAATCGGCACTTGTATTTGTAAAAAATCACATGTACCTCACTGCGGTGCCAGAACGGTCTAAGTAAAGGGGGAGAATAAAAAACAATGAATAAATTAATTTATTCCACTTAAAATAACTTCTTATTTCATCGAGAAAACTGATAAACAGGTCAAGATGTGGATATACACGCAAGTGTACCTTTTTTTTATGAATATTTTAAAGTTCTTCAGAAGCTCATAAAAAATGTAATACATTGGTATTATGTTTTTATTTCAAGGAAAACGCTTTTTCCTGATCCACATCCAGGATGTTGAAGAGCCTTTATTCGAAATCCCAGAAAGCTTCTAATAATATTCATATCAATCATCTTCCCTTGATGCCCATCCTTACCTATCCCTTTTTCTGACTAATGCAACTGAAATTTCCTTTATTGCTTTAATTGACAGACACATCCCAAGAAGGTGGTGGTGGAACGACGGTTAGCTCTACTTTGATCCTTTTGCATGTGTAGGTGCTGAGTTTATCGAATCCGCGAGCGGCATTACCGAGGCCGCGCGCAAAACCCCAACCATGTCGGCCTCCACGATCACATGTTCAACGAGCCGTTTTGACACAACGTCAAAACTCTCATGAAGCGAGTAATTCCCCTGCACACGCAGCAAATCCCCCGCTTCGACGCGGAAACGAGCACACCGTGATGTGTCACGCTCCGACAGGTGGGGTCTAAAATGATAGCGCACCACGACGCGGTTCCGGAATCGCTTTAGCTCGCCATGCCGGCGCTCACGGTAGGCGACGACCTCCAACGTGAACTCGAGGACGTCCGGTGGTGCCTCGGTGCCCTTGGCGATCGCCCCCTCAAGCTGACCGACCCTCACTGTGCCCTCGACCACGGTGCCGATCCCCATCCACGTCGAGCCGCTGAATCCGACCGCCGCGGCGGCGCACGCCCAGCGCCCCAACTCGGCGGACGGCACGTCGCGCAGGACTGTCGCGTG